GTCTTGGAATCCCATCTTAATCAACGTATCTTTAAAGATGATGTTGACCATGCTGCCGGTATCCACCAAGATTTTGGTCACTTCGCTGTCATGGATATGGAGTTCGACCACCAGCGGGTCGTTATGCGGGGTGTGTAACCCATGCATATCCTCTGATGTGAAGGTGATCGTGGGGTGATAGGCCACAGGACGAGGGAATTTTTGCGATGCGACTGCCTTACGTCCATATTATTTGATGGCACAGACTCCCATGATCATGTTAACTTGTCGCTTTGGTGGCGGGGGTGGATTTTTGTGTTCTCCTTCGTCGTTCTGGCGCTCTGCTCCTTTTTCTTTCTCCTTCTCTTCGTGCTTTCTTTTGGGCGTGCGAATTCAGCGCCTTCCTCCAGAACTCCTCGACTGCTACTTTTTCCTGGGTCCCTGCGATCCCGAGTGGAGGTGGCCTGACGCGAGTCCCTAGGGTTTGAACTGCGTGAATATGAGCTTTTACTCCGGGATCGATCACCTCCGATGTTGATTTTGCCTTCTTTGTATTGTTCATATAGCGTATTGTGGAGGTGTCGACAGGCTGAAGTAGCGTGCCCTGTTCGGCCGTGAAAGGAGCAGTAGAGGTCGTGATTATCGTCCCTATCGCTCGTGCTCCTTGGGGGATCTCCTAGGGTCCACTGATTCCAGGGCTTCTGTGTAGTTGTTACAACAGCGTGAGAGGAGGGCTTGCTTTTACTTGCGGGCTCCTTGTCTTTCGAAGTGCTTGCTATGTCCATGCCGTGCTTCTTGGTGTAGAACGTTTTTTCCTCCTCCATCCGTATGAAGGTCTGGACCCGATGGAGTGCATCTTCTATGGTTTCCTTCGGGTGTTTCTGCAGATCTTCCATAAAAGAAGATTCATACCATAGACCGTTCATGAGTGCCTTGATGGCTAAGGCTTGCGGGATTTGCCTGTATGCCGCGGCGGCGTTCTTAAATTTCTCGATGAAGTCGCGGAGTGGTTGGTCGCGTTCTTGCACTAGAGTGAACAGGTTGACCGTCCTCTTTGTGATGAACATGGAATAATGTTTGATGAAGGCGTGGGTCAGATCTTTGAAGGATTTATTGAGGCCGGGGGTAAGTTAGAGAACCATTTCAAAGCGTCTTTGTTAAGATGTTCCACAAAGGTTTGGCAGTGGTTGGCTTTGCGTTCGAGGTCGGTCTCGAATCGTTGCCTCTTCATGGCGACGTTGAATACGGTCAGCCATAAGTTGGGATCCTCCATCCCGTTGTAGTATGGGAGCTTCAGTTTTATCGCCTCGCCAAGTCATACGTCGGTGATCCACGGGGCGAATGGATTGCGTTCGGCATCGGAGAGAATGGCTGAGATCTCGAGTGCCGAACTTGTGGCTCGATGGACTTGGGATCCGATCGCGTTGATTTGCTGATGAAGCCTTGCAATCTCGAAATTTAGTTCGCCAGACGGCTCCTCATCGTCAACTGTTGTACCCCTGATGTTGTTTTACTCCGGTGTTTCGAAGATTAAACGTCGCCCGATCAGCTCCGATCTGGCGGTGGTCGCGGCTACGCAGGCGCTGAGTTGCTCGTCGTATTTGGCTTGCTGGGCCTGGAGGGTGTCTAGTTTGGATACTAAATCCTGCGTGAGTGGCTGCATGGCGGCCTGGATAGCTGCTGCGAGGTCAGCGGCCTGGAGGGGAGCTGGGGGTGCTCCCGCGGGTGGATTCGCGGTAGTGACGTTCGTACGTTCGCCGAGAGCGGATGTCTCGGTGTGAGTGGTGTCATCGTTGTTGCGGATGAGATCGCTGTTGTCGACGGGGAGGCTCATCGCTTCGTCTTTCTTACTTGGTTTTTAAGAATTTATTCTCCTAGTCCCCACAGACGACGCCAACTGTTGAACCAGAAAATCACCACTAGGGTTTGATTAACAGTTGTGAGTTTCAGAGAATAATGTCTTTTTATTAATAGTAATAAGCAAAGCGATTACAAAGAAAGGGATAACCGTGAGGTTATGCCGAAGTAAAAAGGTGTTTGCGAAGTAAACTAGAAAGCGTTGAAGTCTCTGGTTTTAGCTATGTTGCTCTCTAGAATGTATTGGATAGATCCTCTTTGCTTCCAGGTCCTCTTTATTTATAGGGATGGGAGGTCGGTTGCTCCGAACTCCTTTTCCTTTTTGTCTTTTGTGTATATTTCCATATCATAGATATGGAAATCCTTTATTCTCCGAGGAATAAGGAATTTCTCCTTTATCATTTGAATTAATCCGATGTTTCCGGTGTTCAAAAGTTATCCTCAAGAGATTTCCTTAAATCCAAGCTAGGTCGGCGCGGTCTTCTTGGTCTTGATAGGCTTAGGTTATTGCGGGGAAGGCCTTTTAGAAAATGTGCTCATTTTTCCTCTAACAATATATATTTTAAATGAGTAATTTATTTAGAAATCATATTAAGATTAAATTGTTTATATAATAATATAAAATTGTTATTTAAAACTATCAATACTACCAAAAACAATATTCATATAAATTAAAAAAATAAAAAGTCATTTAAAACTTGATATTTAGCCAAATTATTTAGAAAATTAAAAAAAAAACTGAACTATCCAAAAAGTCTAACTAACAAAAAACCAAACTTAAAATTATTTTTTTGCAACATGTCAATACAATTAAAATGAATATTCATATCAAAAAAATTAAATTAACAAAAAAGAGGATATTAATTTAATATCTATGCTATATTTTATTTAACAAAATCAATATAAAAAAATAAGTAAGAAAACAAAAAAACTAAAGTAATACTACAAAACTTAACGAACAAAAAGAAGATAAATATTTAAGCTAATTATTTAAGAAATCAATATTAAAAAAATAATTAACAAAGAAAAATAAAACAAAAATTAATTTTTACAAAATGCTAAATTTTAAAAAATCACCTAAAAAGAAATTTACTTTATATCTGACTAGATACTTAAGAAATTAATATTAAAATATTTAACTAACAAAAAACAAAAACTGAAGTTACGTCTTCAAAAATATCAATATTTTCAAAACTATTATGTGTTGAAATAAAATAGATATCAATATCAAGAGAGGTAAATTATCAAAGAAAAAAGTTGTATAAAAAAAAACCTAGCTTGATATTTAGGCTAATATTTTAGAAAATCAATATAAAAAATTAACTAAAAAAAACAAATGATGGTATAAGCTTTTAAAAGAAGTCCACATAAAATTTAGAATACTCAGTTATAGCATATCAACATAGCATTATAATTAAAAGAAAATTAATGTAAAAAATAAATTTTAAAAAGAAAAAAAAATTATGTAAAAGAGATGAAATTGATATATGCTACCTATTTAGAAAATCGATAACAAAAGAGATTAATTAAATATATATATATATATTAAATATAACAAGCATGCACAAAATTAAATAAATTAAATTAAAATATAAAATTATCATCGAAAGATATGTAAAATAACAAAAAATAAAATCTAAGAAGAAAATTAGTTTAAAATTTAGTTCTAGAAAATTCATGATTTCTAAATTATTGGTATTTGTATGAATAACCATATAAAGTTACAATAGGTTATACAAGTTTCTAAATCAAACATATTATTTAAATTTACAATGACTAATACCTTGGATCCGTCTGGTTTAAAAACTAACAAAAAATACTACACAAGTAATTCTACATTCGAAATATAACAACTAATTTATACATAGTTACTCCTTATAACTTAGCCAACATGAACAGTACATGAGTAACATGTTCTAAAATTTCTTTAAAATAATAAAGTATGATAAATTTATGAATCAAATTCAAATTGGAATATATCTAGATAAACTATTCAAATCAAAACATGAATAAAAACGATATAAAAGATAAAAACAATGATAATGTGAGGACTCCACACCATTTTACATGTCTTAAAATAAAAACTATTAAATAGTTGACTGCAAAAAAAAAGATCTTATAAACTGAATAGAGATATAACATAAAATTCATTGATGATCTGGTAGAGAAGCAAGAAGCAACGTTACAGGATTATTGTAGCATCCAAACAAAAGTAAATTTGATCAACATGAATCATATATTATATATACATAGGTACACAACATCAATGAGACATTTAATCAAAAACTAAATATTTGAACATATAAACCTTAAAAAATAAAAACTATAGAAAACTTAAAGACATAAAACAAAACACCAAAAAATTAGTAAGGAAATTATTCTCTAAATCAAACGTATGCACGTCAAAGTTGGATAATTCATTAAATGTTATTATTATGATTTTACTTAATAAGATTTATAATTTTATAATAAAAAATAGTTAAAACTACATATTATGTTTTAATTTTTTTTATATAAGAAAATTTCTATAAATATATAATAGTTTTGATAATTTTAAAGATATTAGCCAAAAATACAACTAAACCAAATTATAAATACAGACTCGTGCGTAGCATAAATTAAAAGTCTAGTTTATTTAGTAAAAATGCTTTACTTTCAATAAAATGTTTTTTTGTAACTTGAAACTAATAAAATACAGTATTCCTAAACGTAAATAACTCAGTAGAAAATGATATTTAGGAGGTGTTATTGGTTCTTGTATTTTAATGGATTTGAGAATCCAAACCAAATTCAGTGTTATTGGTTCTTGTATTTTAAAATTTATATTGAAATACAGTGTTATTGGTTCTATGATTTTAAAATCCATAATGAAATACAGTGTTATTGGTTCTATCATTTTAGAATCTAAATATTATAATGATTTGAGTTTTAATTGAATTTGAATGGATTTGGAAAGATTTTCATGACTAAAATACAAAGACCCAAATACAAGGTCTAACATTGGTATTTGAGTGAATTTGATTTTTTTCTATTTTGCTGATTTTGAAATCAATAAATTTATCAAATCCAAAGAAGATTTATAAATCCACCAAAATACAAGAACCAATAACCCCTACTTAATTAAACATTTGTACGCCGTCAAGCCCACTTTACAGTGACTTGTGTATGTAACGGCCCACTTTGTTTTGGCGAAGAGACATCAACGAGAGAGTCCGTCTGGCTCTCTTCTCTTGTGCACTCTCGTCAAATTCGTCGGTTTTCGAGGCAAGATAAAGTGGCGCCTTGGATTTTAAATCGGAGAAGATTGATTTTTTTCTGTCGCTTCCGAGAGATACGTAAGCCCTAATTGTTCAAATTCAACATGATCTTAAGGACTCCGCCGCCGAAGAAGCTCCGGACCGACGCCGGAGGCAGCCCACCCCCCACCGGCGCCGCTAGCTCCGGAAAGCAGCTCATTATTTACGAAGATTCTCCTCTTCCCGCTCCAATACAAACAACTTTTCATGATCATTCCGATCAGTACCTTTGCACCTATCAATGTCGCCAAATGGTACTTACCTATTTAGCTCTCTAATTCCATACATACTCGATTCTTCGAAGAATCGCAATGGAATCTGAGTTTTGAATCTGCTTGTTGGTTTAAAAGCTAATTCTCTTTGCTGTAGGTTAAAGCTGATGTTCTAGACGCCTTAAGCAAAGCAGAGAAACAAGCCCAGGAATATCAGACCAAATTACAGACTCTAAATCAGAATTTTAACGAAGCAGGTTTGGTTTTTTTTTTTTTTTTTTTTCAATTTCGAAGTTAGAGGGTCTTGAGCACGAATGCTAGTGTGTTTTTTTCTCTTGGCTTTTGCTGTTATTGGGAGACTCTAATAACGAATTTGGTTTTACTGTTCTACAACAGACGCAGAAAGAAAGCACTTACGAGATAAGTTCTTATACTCAGAGCAAGAACTGGCTGCTGCAAAAGGGCGTGAAAAGATGCTTCAGGAGCAGCTCTTAACGGAGATCAACACTTCTCAAGAGCGGTATACAAAAGAACTACAATCTTGCCATGAACTGGAGGTTCTTGTTCTGTCTATGAACTACAGTCTTACTATTTTATTTGTTGTCATTGGTGCCAATATCTTCTTCCTGTTTGGCACCAGGTAAAACTTCAAAATGAAACGAATCTTCGACAGAAAGCCGAGTCTTCTGTTGCAACAGCAGAAGAAAAAGCTAAACTTTTGGAAGAGAAACTAAGTCAGCTATCTGGTAGTGTGGACAGGGAGAAAACACGTGTGAACAATGATATTGCCCACTTGGGTAAAGAAGCAAAGCTTTCTGTATCTAGGATTGGTGCAGATGTAAGTATCAATTAGGAAACTTTTTTATCTTGACTCGAGTTTTCTCTTTTCTTTTTATTCTCATGATATCTGGACTGATGTTTTCCTTTGCTTTTTAGCTTGAAAGGATGCAATGCAGAGCAGAAAGTGCAGAGGCGGAAACAGATCTCTTAAGATCACAGCTGGAGCATCTTAAGCAGAAATTTGACGAGGTAAGCTAATTGACTTGCATGTTAAATATAATAATACAAGTCATAAGTTATCAATTATTTTACTGGATCTCTCGCTGTCTCATTTGAATTTTTGTTTCGTTTGCAGTGTTTACACGAAAAAACTAAAGTAGACAAAAAGCTTTCGTCATTCACTTCTCAAGCGGCATCTTCTTCAGATAACAGTGTATTGATTAAAAATCTCCAGGAGGAACTTAAGCGCTATGTAAGTTTGACCATTTCTTAGATTACCCGTGTAATGATTTTACAAAGTTGTTCCAGCGTAAAATGCATAATTTATTGAACTTGGGTATGAAAGTGGTAAGAACATTGATCAAAACCCTCTGTATTGCTCACCTATAGAAGTTGTACATCTTTATGATAAACATAAAAGAACTACTCTCGCACAACTTTAGATACATCCACAATGATCTCTATTTTTCTGCTGCTAACTGAATTTAGTCCCTCCCAATCTTGATGATCTCTAACAAGTTTCATTCTGTTGAGCTACATAAGCAGCAATCCACGCTGAGAGATTATGCTAGTTTCCATATTATATTTCTTGACGATACTGATTCTTGATAATTTTTACAGGAAGCTGAAGTGCGAGAAGCTAGAAAGCTTAAATCGCAGCAGTTAGATGCTGAGCTGTTGAAAGTGAAGTTATTGGAAGAAAAAAGCCGTAGGGAGAGGGCCGAATCGGAGTTATCAAAATTGCCTGAATTGCAGATAAGCATGGACACTTTGGAGGATGAATTATCCTCTTGGAAGTCATTGCTAAACAACATTCCCGGTGTATCCTGTCCTGATGACATAATGGTGAAATTCTTGGCGCTGCAAAAGTATGTCAACAAGGTCTTAGAAGATTTTAGCTTATCACTAGAGTCTTCTTCTGATACTGTTTCAAATAAAATATGCCTGCCATAAGATAATTCTGCGGAGAACTGAGGTGGTTGTTATGGGGCCATTATACGGACTTCTCTTAGGTGAACTAGATATTATTTATCATAGAACATTTGCAACACCACTTTGTGCAGATGTAGCTTTGTATTTTAGAGATATTCTGGCTTGCTAGTGCAAGTCTTAGCAGGTCAAGTGTGGCCCTGTGAGCATCTAGTGTAACTTAGTACTGATTTCTAGTTTACCAAACTCTCTGAGGTAACATGTGTATCTATGATACTTCCCAGTGACTTGTGTTTCTGTCTTTTGAAGGGAGGTGCTTGATAGCACTATGAAGATTGGGGAAGTAAGTACACGTTTTAATCAACTGCAGGCGGCTCTGGATGCTGCACAACTTGGCAGGCAGAATGCTGAAACTGAGGCTGCATTAGCTAAAGAGAAATCCGAGGCACTCAAATCAGATATGAAGAGGACTGAAGTAATGGTAAGATTGAATTTTGTTGCTTCTGCTGCGTAACTAAAGGGCTACTAGTGCATTTTCATCTTCTATTGGGGCCCCTCAAGTTGATTTTTCATCCTCGATGTCGAGTGATATAGGGTAGCATTCTAAATCGGTGACAATCTAGTCTTTCATCAATATCTATTCAATATCCTGGTGTATTGATTTTTTCTCCAGGTATTCCTGTCTTTGGTTGGATATATACTAGACTACTAGTTTAGCTCCTTATTTCATGTTGATCAATGGTTTATGCATTCATAAGAGGCTGATAATAGGCTTAGAATCTATGTAGTTAGAAACAAAATTCATAGGATAATATCTCACGTATTTTGACAGGGACAACTTTGATACAAACATTTTTTGTTGCACTCTTGCTAACAGATTTATTATTTTGTAATGACAGCTTTCTTTGGTCACTGAAGAGAAAGAACAACTAAAAGCTGTTGTTAGTGAACTAAGGAAGTCCAACAGTGAAGGACCTGTGTCCGGGGTCACAGATGTAACTCTTGTTCAGGTTCTAGAATAACATTGTCCTTTTTTTACATTGTTTTTTGTTCGTAGCATTTTTCTTAGATTGCCTTAATGTACAGGGGATTGAATCTTCTCTTGCGAACAAGGAGAACTATCTTAAAGAGTTAGAGAAGGAGCTAAGTCAACTGAAAGATGTCAATAATCGTCAACGTGCTGAAATAGAACATCTAAATGATAAATTAGCCAGTGAAGCAAGGAGAATGAAGTCGCTGGAAAGGGATAGCGATCGTCTTTGCTCGGAGATCTCTTTGCTGGAGTCAAGGGTACTTAGTTGTAGCACACTGTTGAAGACTAACTCTTCACTCTTGACATTTCTACTGAAAATTGAACAATGAATCGTTTCTTTGATTAGCTATTGGAACTTTTACCTTCCATGGTTGAAATGGATTTGACGTACTGCGCCTTTTGTCTGTCTTAGGTTTCATGGAATGTTCCATTGTTGTTAAAGCAAAGAGAAATGCTATTTAGGACCTCTAACTTCTACTTTAGAGTTATTGGTCAGAATACTGACATATATTTCGTTTTTTTTTGTGTTTGGCAGCTGGGTCATGGTGATTTTGCTGCTGCAAATACAAGGGTATTGCGCATGGTGAATACTCTTGGTGTCGAAAATGAGGCAAAACAAACAATAGAGGCTTTACAGGCTGAGTTGCAGAAGACAAGAGAAAGACTTCAAGCTGTTGAAGAATTGAAGAGTCAGTCTGGTAAATTTCTGATTGTCGTCAACCTTTATCCTTTTTTTGACGTTGGGGTTGACAAAAGTCTACCATTTAATTTCACTTCAAGCTGGAGAAGCATGCCTTAAGCTGGAGAAGCATGCCTTAATATTCTCGCGAATAAGAGGCCAAAAGTCTTGATGTTGTTCTGCCTCAAGAAGACTTGAGAAGAAATATTTAAGTGTTTTAGAAATTGTTAATCCTAAGCTTACTGTCAATTTATTTTCATGAATCAGGAGATGCAGGTAAGCTAGTTGACTCTCATATAACTGGAAAGATTGCTCAGCTAAAAGAACAAGTTGCTACACTTGAGAAACGTGAAGAGAGGTATGTTGTTAAGAAATGTTTAACACATACTATGTCCGAGCTATGACCTTGCTTTCTCATACTGAAGCATGTGGAGCCTATGAAACAGGTACAAAACTGTTTTTGCTGATAGAATTTCTGTGTTTAGAAGGGCTTGTTGTGAGCTTTTCGGTTATAAGGTATGCCACTTACTCATATCCATGCCGTAACGCTTAAAATGTCTTTCTTTGCTGAGATTTACAATGGTCTCGTGAAGGCAATGATACTAGATATAAACATTTCTGATTGTATATAGAAACTGATAATGTTGACTACAACGGAAGTTAAATGTCATGCTTATACTTAGTTACTTCATATAATGAAGACGATATAGCTATGGCTGTCCTTAATCATGGTACGTTACATTGTTCGTGTAGATTGATGATCACAAGTTCTTGCTCATCCATTGATAATGTTGAATTCCTTTTGAAAACTCTGCCAGATTGTAATGGATGAACATCAGCGTCCCAATGGAATCCCAGTTACTCGGTTTACTCTCCAGTCTATATATGCTCAAAGCGATGACGAGAAGCTCGAGTTCGAATACGAATCAGGAAACACGAGTATTCTAGTAAGTAATTATTGCAACTTACATACATTTCCACATGTTGTTGCATCTGAAAGCTTTGCTTTTTGCCGCGGGTGAACTAACTGGCTATGGGTTAATTCGACCAGGACAATCAGTACACCTCTCAGGGTGAGATAGCAAAGCAGGTATAAAGTGCAGACATATATTTATTCCTTCTTGTTCTTTAGTAAAGTATAACAAATCTCATTTTTTCTGTTTTACTTGCAGATAGAAATATTCATCAGGAAGTTCAACTCGATTCCAGCCTTTACAGCCAATTTAACTATGGAATCATTCAACCGCCGCACGCTATATTGAAAGCACCGAGTCATTGTTCCCAATCGTGTGTTTTTTTTTTTTTTTGTATATTTTTAAATTCCGCTGAACAGAAACACAAAACTGAAATGCCGCAGCTTAGAACAGAATCAGAATCAGAATCAAAAGTTGAACACTGGTGTATGTATCAATAACTTTATTTTGGTTTGAAAGGAAAAGTGGCGTGGATTAAGTCGGAAAGAACATAAACAGTAATTTGAAAATCGTTGCTGAGAAAATAAAAGAACATAAAGAGTAGATCAGTTTTCCTTGCCCCTATTCTCCAGTCTTTTTTGTTTCTAAAGAATCTTATAAACCAGTTGATTAGCTTTATATCAAGACCGGAGATACAAAAATTGCTTCAAAGCAGAGGAGACTAACTATACCAACGCAAAAAACCAACCATGGCATTACAAAGAGGTTGAGACTCTCATAATCAAAGTTCCTATGAAGCCAAGATGGGTGATTTGTGACCACATACGGTTGATGAAGATCCTGGACCGTCCACTTTCTACTCTTTTATCGGACTAAAATGAGTTAAATCTCACATATACTTGGAACCAAAAAGACCGCCAAGCTCTAGGCCCTAAACCGAATGATGATCTTAACTATCCTTATTAAACAAGAACTAAACAAAATAACCTTACCATAATCTATATACCATCTACTCTTTTAATAAAATGTGATATTTCTTATTTTAACCTTACAATCCCTTATTCCCAACTTAATAAAAAATAAAAGATAATAAAAATTGGACCAATGAGAATATACTATTATTAACCAATAAAAACACAGATCATCAATTCTCTCTCTCCTCTTCCTCACGACATATCCATCTTCTTCTTCTTAGCCGTCGCCATTGATTCATAGCTCGAGCTCTCCTCAGCTTCGTCCATTGAAGAGCTGAATTGCATACTGTCTTCAATCTTTACAAATTCCAATGAATGCAGGTGTGTTTCAAGCATATCTCGTCATCTCCAATCGAGTTGTATAATTGAAAATCAATTTGATTTTTTGAAAATTATGAATTGATATAACTTTGAAATAGAATCCATTTGTATGCATATTTGTGTAATTCACAATAGTGTATGCGTCGTTAAGGACGATGCATTGGTAATGAATGAATTTTATTTCCATAATCGTAGGAAACCATGATTAGATTAGGATCCTCTTCGTATCAGCCCGAAATAATCTGAAAGTGATAGTAAAACTGGGTAGAACTGGTATTAATGAGTACGAAAGTAAAACTGGATATAACTGGTATTACTTAGTTTGAAAGTAAAACCGGGTAGAACTTGTATTAATGAGTACAAAAGTATAATTGGGTTGAACTGGTATTACCAAGTAAGAAAGTAAAACTAGTACCTACTCAAAAAGCACAACTGGGTATTACTGAATGATGTTGATAATTTATTTTTATATTTTGTTCTCAGGCGAGAATGGCACGACCGTAAACTTATATTTTGATTACGAAAGAAGTTATTCGAAGACCGGAGCAGATGAAATATGGAATTCTGTAGGCTATGGTTTAATGTTTAAGACATGTATGGAGAAGATAAGCTACTCAGTGTTAAAGGGTAGGATATGCAGGAAGATTGGGTTAGATAAAAGTACGGTGAGACTGCAATTGAGCTTCATTCCATTGGTATGTAAACCAAAGAGAGCATCATTGATTTTCGATGATGAGGATGTGTATTCTTATCTGACATCAATGGACGAAGAGAAATGTAGAAGTTTTTTGCATGTAGAGGTCATTACAGATTTCAGAATAGATCTGCGGGGCGAGCAAATGTCTAAAGTGGGTGTAGGAAGTTCTTTTGGTGTGAATTATGGTGATTTACATCAACTGATGATGTAGTAAATGCTGGTGTCATTATTCTCTATGTAAGTAATGTACAACAAGTAGAACAGCAAAAGCCGGAGGAGGATAATGTTATTGGAGTGAGTGAGAATGGATTAGATGACGATGTGAATGAATATGTTGGAAACGATTTTGGAAATGAAAAATATGTTGATTCTACAGGTATTAGTCGGGATAGCCATCTTAGAGAGGAATGGGAGGACGGTTTGGGTCTGCAAGTAGGACACGAATTTGCAAATAAGAATGCAATGCAAGAGTTGGTTGAGAAAGGTGCATTTCAGAATTGTTTTGTGTTTGGCGTTGTCTAGTCTGATAGGACGCGATTAGTGCTCAAATGTCGTCAAGAAGGTTGTAAATGGCATCTAAGAGTTGAGAAGGTTAGCAATTCAAGTTATTTCTCTGTTAGAGTGTACACCAATATGCACACATGCTCTCGGGCTACTGCGAGTACAAGCAGTTATAGAAGGAAAGGCACACCAGGACTAGTTGCTTCTGTATAGCATGATGATTATCCATGACAATTTAACACCCCAACTCCTAAAAGTCTCATCACTCTAGTTCAGGGAAGACTTGGTGTAATAGTATCATACTCAACCGCATTGAGAGGAAAGTACCAAGCTGTAAGAAATGTGCGTGGTAATGCAGAAGAAAGTTATGAGCTGTTGTACAGTTATATGCACATGTTAGAGAAGGTGAATCCTGGTATAAAAACAAGAGTGAGGTGGATGAAGCGAAAATGTTCAAATATCTCTTTGTTGCTTTGGGAGCTAGCATTGAAGGGTTTCAAGCCATGAGAAAAGTGATAGTTGTGGATGCAACTTTTCTAAATACAGTACATAAGGGTGTCCTAATTTTTGCCACAGCTCAGGATCCTAATCACCACCATTATCCCATAGCCTTTGGTGTCCTTGATGGTGAGAAAGATGCAAGTTGGAAGTGGTTTTTCAGTATGCTGAAAACTGTTATACCAGACTCGCTTGAATTGGTATTTACTACTGACAGAAATCCAAGCCTCATCAAGGCAATACAAGAGGTGTATCCGATCTCTCAACATGGGTATTGTCTATGGCATTTGTCCCAGAATGCGAGAACTAAAGTTAACAATGTTAACAAAGACTTCGTGTCAAGTAGATTCAAAGAGGTTGGTAAGATCTATACGGTGGTTGAGTTCCATCGTGTTTTTGATGACTTTTATAGTAGATATCCTTCTGTGGCTGCGTATCTAAAAGAGAGTTTTGAGGTGAAAAATTGGGCGAGGTGTTATTTTCCAGGACATAGATACAACGTAGACACCACCAAAATAGGGGAATCCATGAATAATGTGTTTAGGACAGAAAGGAAGTATCCTTTATTACCCTTGATAGATACGATACTAGAGAAAATTGGTGAATGATTTAACAAAGATAGAAAGGAATCTGTTTCTGGATCGAGTGCACAAAACCTGGTGCCTATTATGGAGAACATAGTTCATGAAAGATGCAAGACTGCATCGCTCTTAACTGTGATTAAGTTAAACACATTTGAGCTTGAATACCGTGTCAATGGAAGCGGCGGTGAGTCATATGTGGTGAACTTGATAAGGAAAAGTTGCACTTGCTGATGTTTCGATATTGACAAGTATCCTTGTGAGCACGCAATAGCTGCGGTCACAGAATATTGGAAGTGCCCAAAACAGAGTGAGAGATATCCAGTTTCATGATTTGTGTTCACCTTATTATTTGGCGGAGCAGTGGGAATTGACATACTACATGACCATTTATCCAGTGCCGGCTAGGTGTGACTGGACTATTCCGGATGAAATAAAAGAACTGCAGATCGTCCCTCCTGACTACGCCAAAAAGAAGGGAAGAAATAAAGAGAAGAGGTATCCATCAGTTCCAGAAAGGCGCCCAAAACCGAGCAATAAAAGGGTGGCAAGAAGGAACTTGGAGAGTTGGTTTGAGCCGGTTCATAGTACTGTGCCTTAATTTCTGATGGAAATGGTATTCGAATCCGTATTTATTGTATTTATTTGAGATTATATTTTTTCAAAACTTGGTAAAACTGATGCTCAGATTTGTATTTCTTTGAAATTATATTTTTGTAGAACTTGGTAAAACTGATAGTCCAATTTATATGTCTTTGATATTATATTTTTGTAGTAGTTGGTAAAAACGATGTTCGTAATTTTTGCTGATTTTTCAAAAATATAGTGAAAATCTATAAATTTTAATAATAAAAACAACGATTATTTATAAAATCCAATCCGTTTTAAAAGAAATTACAAAAAAATTTGAGAAAACAAAACAAGTGTGTGAAGAAATAAACAACTATATTTTGTATAAGTACTTACTATATATAACATACATGTTTTAATTAGAAAGCAAAAATATTAGCATTAACATCGAAATTAGACAATGTACTCAACAAACTCCTTATACTTTCATGATCACTTTGGTAATATGAACCACATTAGAATCTTTTTAATACGTAAAAGTGTTGGGATGTACATAAATAAACTAAAATGATCGGTACAACTACAAAATATTAGTTTTTGACAAGGAAATACTAATTAAAACTCTAAAAATCCCAAAAGTAACATTGTTTGAGAGCAAGTAATACTGGATAACTTGGAGTAACTAAGTGAAAAAGTTGCCACGATTTGGTGGCACACACATGAGAAAATGACGGCGCACGTGTGGTGTTTTAATGATGCACGTGGAATGTTTGGGTTTTCGCGGTTTCGTTTTTCGCTTAAATGTTCAATTTTTTTTTTTGCGTTCTTTTTTATTCTTTATTTTCTTTATAGAATATTCTTTGGGATCTTTCTCATTTCTCCAAGGGTTTTCTAGGTTTTCTCCTACCTTTTTTCGTTTGCAGCGATTTTTGGGACGATGCCACATTTTTTCACGGTATGCCACATTTTTCCATTTCAACTGAATTATTAGACTGTTGTGTTGGTTCATTATGGATTGAATTTCGACCTTGTTTATTTCGCCCTTGTTAATTTTTTTCAAGGGATTTCGGGTTTTGCGGGTATTTAAATTTTGGGTATCTTTGTCCTTGTCTGTTTATTTCGCTCTTCTTTCGGCATTATTTTCGGGTTTTCTGGATTTTTTTGGGTTTAGATGTTTTCAGATTAGTAACACTGGGTATAGCCTCGATTAGTAATACTTGGCATAACTGCCTCGATTAGTAATACGTTTTACACTGAAATAGGGAGAACATGATGTCACTATTATATGATTATGGCGAAAACAACAGCGACACAGATTCGTTGCCGTCGCTATCGTTATTGGGCCTCGATGATGGCGAAATTAGGGAATCAGGGATTTCAATCCGATTTTTTTTTTGTGGTGGTGCAGTAGTGTTTCCAACAACAAAACCGGTTTGAATCTTGGAAGGCTATACTATTCATGTGTCAATAAGG